GACCTGCCCTGATGGCCCCTGCATCTCTAGGCTCCTGCTGTAGATGTGACATGGGTTAATGACGTGCCTGATCATATCAGTGTGTGTGCTGGGGAAGCTGTAGGGTTAGATGAGAAATAAGAGGTGGAGGCATAAAGAATTCTCTAATGCTTTCTTGCTGAGAACACTTTTTGCCCCAAATTGGCAGTTCCTGCAGTGAGTGCTTCCACAAACACATTTCCATTGTAGTGTGTAGAGGTCCTCTTAAATATGAAGCTCACGGTTTACCTCCTTAAACATCTATGTGTCAATCACTAGAAGAATCCACATAAATGCTATTGCAATCAATAACAGCAATATAGATATGTGTGTATGTATATATATATATATATATGGTACTCAAAAGTATTTTCTAGCCTTATTCCAAGTAATCAAGGACATGTGTGTTAAAATAACCATAGTACTACATAACAGTCTTGTAAATACTGTACGTCAGAGGGAAAAATACATGGCTAAATGCATGTCAGCATCAGTTCCTGCAGTTTTGTAGGAGTTCTGGCCATGGAAGTGAAGCAAACCTGGGACAGCCAAAGGTTCAGTTTTACACAGTTTACACTGTGCTTTGAAAGCACAGCTGAGGTGGTGATCAGAGAACTGACCTGGGACACCACAGACTGGAATTAAGCTCCTGTTCTGCAGCAAACTTCTTACATGGTGTTATGGTGTTGCATTGCCAAGTCAGCTTTTTGCATCTCAGTTGCTGGCAAAACAGAAATAATAGTACTTGTGTCCAATCCTTAGTTAGTCTTACCTACCTACACTGTAGGTTTTTGAGAGAAGGAAGTGCATCTGGTAACACGTTTGATACAATGAATGCACTGGGATCCTTTTAAAACTGGAGGTAACAACTTCGTGATCAGATTCTGAAATAAGAAGTTGAAAACTACTAGAACTACAGCAGGAAGGGAAGGCAGGACTGGAAGAAGAAACAGAAGGAGCTTAAGTATCTATCTTATTGCTCCCAGAGCAGAACTTAAATTGCAACCAATAGACCCAAAATCCAGACTCCTTAAACATAAGCCCATCGCTAGAGGTGGAATCAAGGTCCGCAGTATCCTGGCATCCCCATTGATGGAAAACTCTTCCCTGAACAGGTAGTTCAGGCTTCTTGTGAGCTCCAAATCAAAGTCTTGATAAAGTCAAGGACATGTGGGTTTTTTGTAGATTCCCATGATCTCTTTAATGTGTGTGGATGCAGCAGAGGAGGGGAGTGAAAGACCCCTTGCACTCTTATGGAGGTGCAAGGATGTGAGTGAAAGACCATCTAGTTAGCTGTTCAGAAAAGGTATCCATATCTTCTCTTGGTCACCTACCAAAAATGGGATTGGGGTATACGTTTTCCAAAGAATGGATATTCAATCCTTGACCTTTAAAAAGGATGTATGTGAAGACAAGCCTTTTGATCAAGACTGTAAGAAACTCCATTGATATAGGCAGAAACTGTATAAAGACCAAGAAATCAATGATTTAGCCATTCAGATAAAGAAACATTTAGGTGGTTGGCAGTGACCCCAGTTTTATCTCATCTTCTAAATGTCAGAGGCTTCTAACTATACAATATATAGTTGGGCATTAAAGATTTTCCCAGTCTTTTGCATGTAAGATTGGCTGTCTTCATGCATTTGATGCCAGGACTAAATCAGGTCAAAATCATCTGAATAATGAAATCTTCTAGGGAAAAGGATGTAACATGTAATTTATCTATATAACCTGTGATGTTGGTGAAGCCTGTATTTTATCCAAAATACCCAACCTGGAAAGATCAGATAATGCCTTCCACAAAAAAAGTACTGACTTCCTTTTTCTTTCCACTTAATTTGATGATAAAGTAGAAATGTGAAGAGTGATGAAAAAGTTTTCTGCTCTGCTGTGTGTTGTGATAAATAAAAAATGATCAAGCTATACTTGAAGATCCATAGCTTTGGATAAAACTGCTTTTGAGGCATGGCCAGAATGCCTGCTTCATCAAAAATCATTAGGAGGATACATCAGCATAGGGGCAGTAAAAAAAAAAAAAAAAAAAAAATTCTTCAAGTGCTTTCTGAGCATATGGAGCTGGGCAAAAATAGTCCCCTTCTTACAATAGTCCACGATGGGTGAGATTTCTTCTGAGAAATCTTGGAAGAATTGGTGGCAAAAGCTGGAGAAGCTGAGAAAATGCTGAATTCAGCAAACATTTTCAGGGACCATCAATCCAGCCTGTGACCACTAAATCCTTCTTGGAGTCATCAAGTTCTTTTAGAGAGATGATACAACCCAGAAATTCTTTGAAGTGATCAAAGACCACTTGAAGAAGTATTTTATAAATCAGCATACATTTGCTGGTGACAAAGAAGCACCCTGGGAGTTTCTGTATGTGTCTATGCTACAAATACATTACAAAAGAATCTAGAATATCTCTTAAGATGTAATTCAAAAAAAGTTGAAATTTGCCAGGGCCATGCGTTTATCAGGAGGTATGAACGAGTACTCAGAGGTGATGTATCTGGCTTACAGGACCGTTTACTGTTATTTTGAACTGGTTTATGTTTCCTTCAAGCCTACTTTTGTAAAAGTTTCCACAATATACAAATAAGACAGATATCAAGGACAACAGTCTCTGTTTCTGGTAATAATCTTACTGAGTTCTCGATAGTCATTGCTAGATCTAAGGGAGATATTAACCACAGATAAATCTGAGAAGTGTTAGAATTAATTTTTTTGATTTAGAGAAAGTGATTTCTCATTTGGTTTTAGCACTTGTCGGGAGTAAATGCACCCAGATGGCACCTGGATCCTACACCAACACAACCTGTGTCAGGAAGGGTGTGACAGATGGGCACTATGTCTACCTTTTCTTCAGAACACCACCCATAAGCATCTTCTTAGAAGTTGCACTTCTTGCCTGGTGCCCTGGCATGGCATGTCTACAAATCTTTCAACCTGATATTACCTTTGCTGAAGTACCTGTACTGTAGAGGCAGAAGGTATCAATCATATCTTTCTTTGTTCTAAAGAACTGGGGAATTATTCAAAGACCAGCTCAGTTCCTAAAATTGCTGGAAGGGAGATAACTGAGTGAGTTTCTTTGAATTCTACCTGTAGCAGAACTACTGGGCCTACAGCATCTGTGTTCCTTATGATTCCAGGCATGGATTTGAGAGGGGGTTGAGTGATAACATTTCTTAGGACATTCATGTGGGGAGATCATTACTGGTGAATACCATTTGACTTTTCTATTTCAGTTTGCACAGGTGTCTATACATACGCAGAAGGTAATAAAACAATCTAAAGCCAAGGGTGTCCCTGGCTCTGCTAGGGTGTTGTTGGCTTTCTTCCACAACAGCTGCTAGAAGTGGCAGTGCCGTAGAGCTGTTGTTTGCTTTGTATCTGTGACCAGCCAGCAGGATTCTTCCCAGTTCTCAATTACCATCTACTGCTTTGCTTTAGTTTTGTGAGTTTGGCTTCTGCCAGCAAATTTTTTCTGAAGTATCCCTAGATCAGATAACCTCAGTTAGAAATATTTTCAATATTCTACAAGGGATTACTTTTTCTTGCAAGGGACAGATAAACTAAAGAATCTTTTACTGGAGGCCAGTTCTAAGCATCCCCTTGACATAGTCCACACTATAGCAGAAGACTGGTCTGGAAAAACAAATTACATCACTTTATAGGAGATCAAGTGTCTGATTATCCCAGGCAAACTTTCCTGACATGGTGCAATTAGACTCCTGAAGAGCTGCTGATCCATCGTTCTGTTGTTCCTGATCAGATTGCTTCCTAATGGAGGCAGGGCAGTTGACTCCTGCTGGCATGCCAGTTTTCACTTGTGTGTGGAATTAAACAGGCTGCTCCCAGAGCCTCATCACAGGAGCTCAAGTGACCTTGGCATCACATCCTACTGTCTACATTGTCCAGGCTCGTAAATACTGTGTGGAGCGTGCGTGCCGGCAGAGCATTTGTCATTCCAGTAAGGCAGTCATATCAGGATCCTGTGAGGTCAGGAGGTGAGGATCTTGTCAAAAATCTCAGGAAGCAGGCTAGTAATCTGCAGAGGTCTAAATGGGGCTTTTAAAATTGGAACCAGAACTGACTGCCTAGACAGAGTTTTTTGAAAGATAAACAGCATCAGCAATCTAAAGGGATTTCAAGCACAACTTTGTTTTTCAAAGGAATCAGCAAAGGGCACCATAGCTGGAACAAGCTCTGAAGTACAATCAGGAAGATTTCAAGTGTATAGTAGTTTTGGAAATAATCGGGCATTTCAGTCCTTGGAGATACTGTAGCAAGTAAGGAGTGAAGCGTTTTTATGTCATCATTAACAGTACTGCAGTTTTGGAGTCAATACCTGTTCTATGTGCTCCTGCACACTGAACTTCATTCACTGTCCTCATTAAGACTGACATGCATACTGGTTCCCAAACCTAAACAACTGTCCCTGCAGCACACTTGCTCAAAACAAGGAGTTTATTGTGAATACCTATTGTGCGTGGGACACCTCCGCTTCTCTTTCTTTCCCCCTTCTCCACCCAACCATCCCAATAGCTTGTGGCAGACTAGCAACACTTCTGAGTGGATTTTACTGTAATCGCTACAGAATCCCTTGGACCTTGCATAATGGAATTTATTTAGGTCACCAAATCTTGTTTCCTAATTATAGGAATGAAAAGGGGGGAAAAAAAAAAAGTGCTATAACGTGAAACCATTCCCTTATTCTGGCATTTTTACTTTTAGAATCCCGGGATAACCCACTCGCTCCCGTCCGTTTAGTGCGCGCTCCGTTTTAACCTTGAAGCTCTCTTCCCCCTCCTCTCGCCCCCCCCGGTCCTCTTACACCGGGGCGGAGGGACCCCCCTGCTCCCAAACCCTCCTCGCGGGGAATCACTCCTTCCCCCGGCCCGCCCGGCTCCTGGTTTCGTTCCCCCCTGGGGCGCAGAGATGACCGGGACGACGGAGGGCTGCGCCGCCGCGGTCACCGCCGCGATCACCACCACGGCGCCCTCGGGCACCCTCCCCGCCCCGGACAAGGCGTTTAACGTGTCCAGGCGTGAAGTATGGCATGCAAAGATGGTTTCTGCCAAGGAGCCAGCCATCGCCATGTCCTCGGGTCTCTCCATCGCCCTCCTGCACTGCCTGTGCCTGGCGACGTGGTGAGTACCCCCGGTGGTGGCGGCGGCGGCAGCGCTGTCTCTTATAC